ATTCAGCACGAGAATTTTTATTTGGATTCATCCAAATGATTTTTATTTTGTTGAAAAACAAAATAGTTATCAAAAAAAGGTTTGCGATGTTCGTCAGCAAGCAATAAAAAAATTTCTTATTACTTGAATCAAAGTTACTTTGGATAAGTGCCAACATTATACACATAGTAATATTTGATAAAAACAAAGAATAAGCAATGTAAACATTTTCATTGTACTTCCATGGAAGATTTCTTGCTTTAAAAGATTGGAAACCACACAAAAGTGATAAAGCAATGACGTAGCAAACATAAATAACCAAAAAGTTGGCTGAGTCACAATAGCTTTGCACTGTATGCGATGACGTCATGTCTGTTACATCTGAGACATATATTTTAAACTTGCTATTTTGAGCAACAAATATAAGTGTCACAAAGATGCACGGAAAGATTAGTAACAATACACCGATCTTAGATCTAAGAAAAAACATTTCTTTCTTTGAACTTTTGCAGTGTATATTCAAACTAAAAACTTCAACAAGACGTTTAACTTTTGCTAAAATAATTGTAACTATAGCGACATGTAAAAAACTACTCAAATATATCCTTGCTTTACACTTTAATTCCGCCTCCTCTCCGAATGCTAGAAGAGGCAAAATGAACATAGCAAGATGCATGATCATTTGAATTAATGTCATTTCATAATTAGATGAGCGTACAATTGGAGTGGATTTCATTTTTACAAAAGTAAGTATAAAAACTATTGTCGTCGTTACACCTATAGCGGAAAACAATAAAACAATCAATTGATGTACCAACAGTTTATTACTTTTAAAATTCCAGTACAAGCGTTCAAATTGGTAACAATTTTTATCTTCAGAATATTTTGGACATGGAACACAGTTCCAACAGCAGGTACTGTCTGAGATATTTTCTTTTATTTCACCAAAGCTGCAAGAATTCGAACAAACGGAATAAATGTTTGATATCAAGTTACTGTTTTTAATATCTAATCTATCTTTATTAGTCGTATTTTCGTTGGACCACGAAGCAAACAATTCAAATTTGGAAGAGTAAAGTTCAAAAAATGCCGATCGAGGGTTGTGATTTGAATCAAAGCTAAAAATTTTTGATTCGTTTAATGTCGAAAAGTTAACTTGTTTTATAATTTCTAAAAACAATGTCCTGTTGTCAATCATATAAAATTCGCATTTGTTAAAGTTGGCATCATGTTTTTCTTGGTAAACAAAAAAGGAATTAATTAAAACTTTGACAGCATTTTGAACAAATAAGACCTTGCTTAGATCAAATACCTCTGAAATATTTTTCACATTAAAATTTTGAGTACTTTCATTGACTCCATGTTTTTTAAAAACTGCTTTTAACCATGGACTTGAATTTTGATATGTAAGACTGTAGAAGTGACTTTTAAATTCAGTATCTTCCCCGTCTGTTTGAACTACCAAAAAAATTTTGTTATGAAAAATATTTTTGTCGTCAAGAAAAAAAGGGTTTTTACCGACGGCCTCACTTAATATCCATGTTTTGCCTGTTAAATTTTGAGCTGATGTGTTTGTTAGAAGATTTTGAAATGGCGGAAACGTTCCCCAAAATACTATAACCTTAGCTTTACTATTAGTTAAATTCGTTGCAATCTGAGAATATTTATCTAAATCGTAATTATTTGGAAGCTTGTCCATGTAATCTATGCAAATGCCGTTTTTTTTAAAACTAATAATTTGCTGCTCTCCTCCGTCCCTTCCGTATGAGCTATCCACCCATAACACGGATATAAGGTTCGAGTTGCTCTTTTTTATTAAATCTGTTATAAATTCGGCTTGGTGATCACCTGAAGAAACGGTTCTAAAAAAATTTGGATATGATTTTCTGTCGTTTAATTCCAAGCTTGTCGCTGCGTAACTGACAACAGGAAAACTTTTGTAGGAAGACGTTAATTCATTAACATAAATAGAGTTAGACGATTCTGCTGGACCAACAAAACCTAATATTGTATTTACATGTTCTTGTTTGTATATATTACTGCAAGCTTCGCAAGTGCTGTTGTTTTTATCGCAACTTTTGACGTTAATGTCGCAGCTGTTAACGACTTTATCAGTGTTTTTGTTTATTGATGAATATAATAAACTATCTAGCACAGCAAACGTTGTCATGTCCATGTTCGTTGTATTATACGTATCATAAATTACGAATTCAAATATACTCTTGTTACACTTTTTATTTTCTTTATTCACTGTATAGTTTAAGGCCTCCATCCATGCAATAGTTCTGTTGTCAATATCAGATGGTGAGAAACAACCCATTGGAAATAAACCACTTATCTTAAATGGAGCACTAACAAAACTTTTAACTCGATTATCCATACATTTTTCACAGTATGAAAAACTAAAAACGAAAAGCATTAAGTATTTTAAATAAGACGAAAAAATACTTTTTAACAACAATCTGTGTGTAAACATTTTTTTAAAAAGATTTTTATTAAATCGATTATCCGTCTCTGTTTGCAATTTTATGGAAGCGACTAAGTATAATCTTATTAAATTACAACATTTCTTAAATACTTTTTTAATCAAACAAAAATATTAAATCAATATATCTTTTAATCGCATTTTAAACGAGTAGCCTGCATACCTTACTGTAAACATTTTTTCTTCTTCTAGTGTATTAATAAGGGACAATATTTATCGTTCCATTAACCGATTTCGCTTTTTAAAATTGCTGTTTTTTCTTTTGGCTTAAATCAATTTTAAACCGTTATATTGGATAAAAATTATTTTAAATAAAAACCTTATTTTAGTTCTAAAAATTTAAAAGTAAAAAAAAAATATTTTTTATAATAATTGAAATGAAATTTTTGCCAACTTCAAACTTAATAAAACTTAAATTAAAGTTCGAATTAACTGCAAACGTTAATAACTTGTAACAACAAGGCATTATCTATTTACAATTAGTCCAGTCAATGCTTAATACCATTAGTTACTGACGTAGTTACGATTCTGTAAAATATCTAAAAACTCTTCTTTTCCTAAACTGCGCGCGTCATGACAGTTTATTTCAACAAACGTTAAACGTCAATGCATGTTTGACGTCACTTTTCTCTTTTCTCTATTATAGACCTTTTTCATTGTTTGAAAAAGACGAGGAGTTGAAAGAGGAGGTCTTTCAACTTTCAACGAGCTGTATGAGTTGTCCTTATTTTTTTTTAAACGTTTATATCTTTGTTTTAAGTTTCTAAGTTTTGTTTTATATTTCCTCTTTTTTTTATTCTTATGTTAGCTCACGAAGTTTTTTTTGTCACAAAAATCTTTTAATTAATAAAACTGCTTTGAGATTTAATTTTTTTCGAGTTTACTTTTTTTCTTGAATGTCTTGCGTGACCGTTAGACTTTCTTCAATAACTATTTTAACATTTTCTAACATTTTCATATGTTCATTATATAATCGGTTTTTAATTTTCTGTTTTCTTTTATTTTAACAATTCGCACTTTTGTTTTGAATTATTTGCTTCTTTCATTAATGTGTTATTTTTTATAATATCGCGACTTTAAAGTGATCTTGTTCTTTTTTAGTATTTTTGAGTTTTGAGATGAAATGGTTTACAAAAATAACTTTAAGAGACGGCATATAAAAACATTTTTATGACTAATGTTTTCTCTTCAACTTTTTTACTTATAACTTTGGTTTCTAAACAGTAGAAAAGCATTATTCTGAGGTAGATAACACTATCATCTCAATTTTTTTGTAACTGAATTTCTCAAAAGAAGAAGATAAAACAAGAAAAAAATATTTATCGAGATAATTGATTCATGTCTTTTGATATTAACATTGTTTTTTTTTCTTAAGATCTCTCATATTTTATTTTATCCAAAGATAAACATGCTTACTGTTTTATAATAGAATATAATCGTCACTCAAAATATAAGGTCAAAAAACATGATTTTTTTTTTTTGAACAAAAATTACATTCTTATATATTAAAAGCAGGATTAACTCCAGAGATTAAAAGCAGGATTTACTCCAGAAAACTTTATCATTCTCATTTACACAATAGTTTAATCTCAGCTCTGGCTCAAATTTAAACTCCCACAAAAATCTCTCATAATTGACTGTATCTTTTAACCCATTTCCTAACAACGCTCCGCCTTTCAACAAAATAATGAAAACTATTTTCTATGCAAAAACGGCCGTGTGCAAAAAAAACTCAACAATCTGATAATCATTGGTGACTTCAACTTCCCCCGACGTCAAATGGCGGAAAGATTGGATAAATACCAACGGCACTAAAACTAATTTATCTGGTTTTGAAAAAATCATTCTTAACCTACTTCTGCACCAAAATGTCATCAATCGCAAATTCATCAGTCTATTCAAAAACCAGCCAGACCACATAATTAGCAATGCAACCAATCGTAAAAGCTATACAACTATCGCTCCTATTTTTGGCGCTCCACTGTACTCTGACATGACGACACTTGTTTTCCAAAAACGTTTACAACTCTCCCCATTATACTAGCTTTAAGTCCGTCGCTAAACTTTCTCTTTATCAGAGCGTGAAAAAAAACTTAAAAAAACCTAACAACAAATGACAAATTGTTGCACTTGCCGAAAGTCTAACCTCACTCAAAACTTTGTCAAAAAATCTTTTTGAATTGCAACTAAAACATTTAAACCCAACTTAGCTCATGACAAATGGAACCCTAAACGTCTCTACACCTATGTTATTAACAATCGCGCTTTTAGTAACGATATAGTTTTTATGTGCTTGACTTCTAAAAATATAAGCAGCAAGCAAATATTCATTACTAGTTAACACACAATCAGTTTTAGTCATTATTCATGATCCGACTATTAAATAAATCACTCTTCCTCAAACGTTCAACCGCTTTAAAAACATTTTTTTGCTATTAACGCAAATAACTCAATTGCAGGTGAGTTGTTTGCGTTAACTCAGCCCAAGAATGATTAAAGCATGTACCACTGCGGGCTAATTTACACTGCTAACTTAACTTTATTTTTAAATCGTCGGATCAAGTTGAATTACCAAAGACGTGACTTTTGGTAAACGTGGTGTTTTTAAAAAGGCTATAGACTCGACTAAGAAAACTACAGGTTGATCTCTATTACGTCTTTTCCATGACAACAATGGTAAAAGACTAAATTTTATTTTTGTGTTTTTTTATTACATTTTAATTAGCATTTCCGGATAAAATATAAAGTTTTTTTTATTTTTACTAACGTTCTTTTCATCTTGTAAGATAAGACTTAAAAAGTAAATAATAAAAATATAATATCAAAAAAAGAACTATTATTAAAAATAAAAAAACGCGGGGACTCATCAAAGAAAGGTCTTGTCGTTGAGAACCACTAACGTTAATTTGATAATTTTTCGTCGTAAATCGCGGTTAATGATAAACAAAATAATAACACATTTTTTTATTTTTGCCTAGAGTTTGTTGTAAATATATAGATCTGTTATTTATATTTTATATTCAAATAAATCGCATTTATTTCTCGGTATATATATAAACATTTAAAAACTCTTTTAATAATAAAAGGTAAATAGGAGATTTACAAAAAAAGTTATAAGAAAAATAATATTAAAGAACCAATTGTAAAATTTAATTATTTATTGAATAAACACTTGAGAAAAACTTTTAAGACTTTTTTGTTCTATAAAAAAATGCGCGAAAAGTCATGCAAAATTAACGATAGTTTTTTTGAAAATGCAACTGCTTGATAAAATTATGATTGCGGACAATGTATTTTTTTTCTTTTGTCAAATACAAATTACAAAAACAAAAATAAAAAAAAACTGATTAAAAATTGATTTTACGTAAAAAACATAAAAAAATAGAACATTATAAACATTAAGTTAGTATATATTTAGTGGATTTTTTTTTTTAGAGACTTTCCATGGATAAAATGTTCAAAAACATTTATTACACGTGCTATATGCTTCTGATGACAATGAAGAAGCTTAAGTTTGCTTTTATTGACAGCCCATTCAATATTTGCAATACTAACCTATTAGCATAGTATGGTTGTGAATAAAGTAGAAATATAATAGAGTTAGAGTATTACATATTTCTTATTCAAAAAACTGCTTACTATATAAAACTTTAAACTATTCTTATGCCTTTTGAAGTTATATAAATTTATTTGTTTTTTCTATGTAAGATTTTCATCAATATAAAAAGTAACATTTACTCTGCTTTTTTTGACATTATCAATGAAAAGCTTTCATTCATGTATCTTTATTTCCTTAGATAGATGAAAGAATGTCCATTATCTAGGAAAAAAAGATTATGTTTGATAGAAAGATTAAGCAGCACCCACGTAACACACTTTTTGCTGATTGTAAACACGGCTTTTTAAGTTAAAAAGCATGACGGATCTGTTCGAAACCATGGACTTTTTTATCCACAGCGTTTCTTATAAGTTTTTAGTAGAAATGCTTTTTCTTGACTTTGCTAAAACATTTAACAATGTCTTTCAGAATACTACTGCAAAAAAATTGAATTACTGAATTTATATTTTACGGAATTACGAAAAACTACAAAATTTAAGGTAGCATTTTGAGCTAGATTAATGATTTTCTATCAAATATATTACAATAGGTTCTTTATGGTTTTACGTGATCCAACTTTGAAAAAATTACCATTAAAGTTCCTCAAGGTTAGGTGCTAGATCATACGCGGTTCATAACCTTCATCATCGACTTACCTGAATATATTGTGAGCAAACGAATCTGTAAATTTTTCTTTCGTCTGCAAGCTGATATGAATAGCATTGTCGCATCAATTTAAACCTGGTTGTTGGAGCATTATGTCAAGAATTGCATGATTATGCTATGTAAAAAAAAAAAAATGTTTTCGTACTTGAACACAATAAACACGACGCCAACGGCAGAGTTGCCACAACAGAACCTATGTCGTCAACATTCAAAAAAAGTTAAATAGCTGTAGAGAAAACAAAATAGAATAACCTCATTTTTCAACAACAATAAACCAAAAAATGATAAAACTAATAACAATAATCATGGAAAAAATAATGACAATCGAATAGCGATAGTCATGCACATGTATAAATATAAATATATACACACATACACACTTGTATACATACACATTCCTTTGGGTATATTAACAGTATTTATTCAAGAAAGAGTGGAATAATATGCGTTTAACTGTTTTTAGGATATAGAAAAGATTATTCTTTGATTTTATAATGTCGCTAAGTAGCAGAATAGTGTTTTAAGATAGTTGTTGCAGTATAAGGGATTGAATTTAGTAACGGTTATTTGCATTATTAAGAAAGATTTTATTAAAGATAAGAGTCAGGTTTTTGTGTGGTCGTTACAGACAAACTGTTTTAATAAAACAAATAAATTTGATTAACAGAGACATAAAGCAAGGTAAATTTTTATTTTAAATGAAAAACCATTTAAATTTAGATTCATGTATTTCTATACAAATCACAATTATAAGCAGCCATGACGCAGTGGT